ATATATATATATATATATATATATATATATATATACACATTTATAATTAATAATTATTTTCAAACATTTGTTTAATTATTTATTTTATAAACATTATATATTTCATTGTGTTTTTTATATTTCATTATATTCTATTAAAAGCAAAAATCTGCCCCTGAAAAACTTCTAGGAGGCAAATGTTGGCCCTTAATGAAAGAATTATTTCTGACCCTGATAAGTGGGCACTTCTATGATATTCTAGTCCCTAAATATGGCTCTGGTCCCTCGACCTTTTATCCAGTTACACTGTTAGCACCTTGTATAGGTTTGTCTCTACCACGTTTGAGAGCAAGACATGATGGGCTGCACATTTGCTCAAAGTGAGTACCGTGCATAATCTGTATACTTTACAAACTGCGTCCATCTTTTGCCATCCACTTAGTCTTGTTTGTTTTGTTTAATCTCTCTTTGTCTCTTTCGCTCCCCTCCGCCTCATATTTACACTTGTTTTCGCTGCATCTCTTCCGCTCTGCATTCAGACGGTGTGCCGAGCATGGTGGCATCGCGAGCAGGGGAGTGGAGAGGTTGAGCAGCAGTTTGAAATGTGAATTAGAGGGGGAGAGGGGCGTGTGCGAGAGCTCTCCGTGGCCAGGAATCAGTAACCACGCTTTCATTTTATGACATTCTCTCGCTCGAGTGTGTCTGGTAAACACATGCACAGAATACAGCACCATATCACACCGCTGAACAAGAGAAGCCACGTTCACCAGAATATCCCGGAAGGTTTACAAGTGGATGACGAATTGCTTACTTAGGGAAATGTGTCTCTTTGACAAAAATACACACGTTTACAACAAATATGTTCATTTAACAAACTGAATTTATTCATTCATTCAAAGCTGAAGGTCCCTTACACAAAGAAAATATATTTCCTTATATATTAACAATCAATATATTAAACTGTTTAATGTATATTGAAAATATACAGAATAACATATTGTGTTAATACATTACAATATATAGAACAATACTTAGGAATTTTGAATGATATGAGACAGATATATTTCGTCAACTGAGCACTCAATCCATAAAGATATAAATGTCAAATATCATTTTCCACCCACCATGCTGCCTCATCATATGTTCATATGTATCAATATATAGCAATACATGGTCCATACATATATTGAAAAATATAATCACTAGCTTCCCATATATGATTTTTATTTTTTTTTATAAATAATGAAATGATATAATGAAATGATTTTTATTTTCTGAAGAAAAAATGGATCTGTCTTCCCATCCAAATCTTGGCGCTCTAATGCTATAATGTAAGCGCCACTAATTAATTACAGTCTGTCACGTTATCTTAATCCACATTTCTCTTTTGTGTTTCTGTTTGTTCTGCAGGAGCCGAGCACTGTTTCCGTAATTTCAGTGCTCCAACCGGAGTGATCGAGTCTCCTGGTTTCCCTGACAAGTACCCTCATAATTTGGAGTGCTCCTTCATCATCATCCCTCCTCCTCAGACGGAGGTCACACTCACCTTCCAGACCTTTGACCTGGAAAACGACCCTTTGCTGATGGGGGAAGGAGAATGCAAGTATGACTGGCTGGAAGTTTGGGACGGCCTGCCACAAGGTTAGTGTTGGTATTTTATTCATATATACTTTAAGGACCCATATATACGTCTTTCAGAAAGGACACATTAAAATGATCAAAAGTGACAGTAAAGACATTTATAATTACAAAAGATTTCTGAAACATAATTACAAAATAATCCTAAGAAAATGTATTAATGGTTTCCATCATATAAAGCAGCACAACTGTTTTCAACATTAATAAAAAGAAATGTTTCTTGAGCAGTAAATCAGTATATTAGAATGATTTCTGAAGGATCATGTGACACTGAAAACTGGAGTGATGATGCAGAAAATTCAGCTTTGCATCACAGGAATAAATTACTCTTTAAAGAAAACAGTTATTTTAAATTCTAATAATATTTCACAATATTACTGTTTTTACTGTATTTTTCAATATATTAAATGCATTCTTGGTGAGAGACTTCTTTCAAAAACATTTTTAAATCTTACCGACCTAAGACTTTTTAATGTTTTCTTTTAGGGCTGCACGATAAATCGCATGCGATATTTAACGCGCATCTTGTCAGAAAGCCGGTTCTGTAATCAGCGGTAAATCTCCATTACCTGCGGGCTTTCACATTGAGCAGCATTAACTACACAGAGCCGTTGTTCACTGACGAGCTGCGCAAAAAATCGCGCGAATATGAACGTGGTTTTGCGCAGCTCGTCAGTGAACAACGGCTCTGTGTAGTTAATGCTGCTCAATGTGAAAGCCCGCACGTGATGGAGATTTAC